CAGCGTCGTCCGGGTTTGGCCGGTGTAGGCCATCATTGTAAATAAGAATTTGTTCTTAACTGACTTGCCTGGTTAAATAAAGGTAATAAAATAAAATAAAAAGTCAACATCTTCTTCATTGTATTACTTACTTCCTATATAAAAGTTAATAGTCACCACTATGGGGCAACTAAATGTCACTAAAATTACCATTATTTATATTTGTAGACTATGATCTAAAGGTTAAACCCTGACAGAATGATCTTACTTGTGATAGCTGATTGGACATTCCTAAATGTCTAGCGGAAGTATGCTGTCCCATTGTATCTACCAGCAAAGACAAACCCTCAATGAGCAGCTATCCCTCTTCCTGCCTCTCTCTCTCTCTCTCTCTCTCGCTCTCTCTGAAGTGGAGCCTCAGCCTATGACTCCTACTAGGAGCTCTTTAGACAGCTGGCTAATTTAATTTAGTGGTCATTCAATGATAATGAGATGGTGTGGTACCAAGAAAGAGGTCCTAGTTGTGGTTGATGACATATTACTTTGGTTTACACAGAATGCACTCAAATCAACTTGCACCTAACCACCTCTGATATGACTGAAAACAGAACTAACGCCTCAGGATGTCAATGAAACCGTTTATTTTCCCTCCGATTACACTTTTTTTGGCAATCCCTATTGCAAAAGTGCTACTGATTTTAACTCATTTTAGCAACACAGCATAAATTGTGAAATTCAGTATTTCAATATTCCAAACATACAGAAAGAAGACTGTCTTGCCTCAGTTCTGATTCTTGAGAGGTTCTTACTGTTGTCAATACTATCTGACCTAATATCTGACCTACTAGCAGGAATTGTTGCAGTGCACTAGCACCTCACTTTTATTTAGCAAACAAATTATCTTTACAATAATTACTATTTGCGTAGTGTAAGAACAGGAAGGCAGACTACTATTGTGTTACAACATGGAGGTATAGTAGACAATGTGAACAGCCCTATTATCAGATAAGCATTGTAGCTACAGTATATTGGGATAAATTGCAAATATGTCATGGACAATCTCATCTAAGGGGTGCCAATTATATTGTCGAACTACACAAAGCAACAATAAAATGACAGTGTGCTGCTGATGCTTTATTGTCGTATAAAGCAAGTGGACGTGCACACACTTCCTATTCTGCTGCCTCTCATGATGTACACACCTACGATAGTTGAGGTTATCACAGTTTGTGATGCAGGACTCACTGTGGGTGCTTCTCAATAGTAAGAAGTGTCTTCCTGTTCTCCTCCTTTCCTTTCCCTGAAATCGGAAAACTGGTGGAGAGGTGAAAGCAATATGGTGGATGTCAGCTAGGAATTTGCTTTCAGTTCATAGATGGCAGTACATGTAGAGGAAAGGAGAAGAGGAAAGGAAGCAAGTTACGACTATTGAGACCATGCTATGAGCGAAAGCTGAGAGGATGAGGGGACTGTTCTCTCAGATAACTTGCCTTTCAGGAGAGAGTGCTACCCTGTCTCACAGAGCTGGAGACAACAGAAGCAGAAACCAGTTGGGGTTGGTTTCAGTGCAACTCCTGTCTATTGAGTTGGACATGCATGGGTTTCTTAGTGTTCAACTCAATTCAATTTTATTCCAAGTATTGTTTGTAGGAAACATTTGATAATAACTGGTATCTAAGCTAGAAATTGAAAAAGAGGGAGTGGTGCATGAGGAAATATTAAGCTGAAAGTGTGTGCCTGTGTATGTGCGTGTGTGTGTTTGAAGGGGGAAAACCTGTGTGCTAGAGAGCTGGCACCCATTGTCAGAGCTGCAGGGTGTTGGGATGAGGGACACCATTCTTCACAGCTCTGAGGACAGGCTGGGAGTCTGTGTTGCAAGTAATTTAGCGAAACCCTTGCAGACTTCCTCTGAACTGAGGTGGAAGTGAAACAGCTTGGCATCCAAGGAAACACAGGGGATTCAGGCAGAAGTCAGACTGACAGTTTCACATTGTGTGGTTTCTGAAATCCCCTCAGAGAAAACCCGCTCAGGCGTTACGGTCCAAAATCCTCATGTGTGTCTGGTTGACTGGTTGCAAGAGACTTTATTTACTTGTTCACATAAGTGAAAAAAGTTTATGCAATAGCGTTATTCAAAGATACAATAGGTCCCTGTTCAATGTTTAGGTTAAGACAAAATCCAAATTTAAGTTGTTCCATGATCTATTTGTTGTTGAATTTGTCTTTGAAACTTGACTCTTTAGATGAATCAATTGTACTGAAACATTTTTAACATAAGATAAGTTATTGCTGCTGTAAGAGGGCAGAAACTTGCATTTGAAATGCTGTCTTTGTTGCCATCTAGTGGCTATTAATAAGAAACAGAGCGACGTACAGTACATTCAGTAGCAGAGTAATGCTGAGAATGGAGAACATATGATTCAATAAATACATTTGAAAAAATCTAATCTAACTTTCCTCAGATACTGACTGACCAAACAAACCTGCAAACCCTTCATCATAGTAAATGCAAACAGATCAGTATCTAGCAAAGCAGCATATGCAGTAAGGGAATCAGAGGTGAGGAGTGTGTGTGTTTGTGTGTGTACACACAAGCATGTGTTCAGACTGGGGTTGTTCAGAACGAACTGGGGATAAGGCAGGGGTTGGAACCAAAATTATTTTCCAATCGTTTCGTTCTGAACAGAAAATCTATTTTTTTTTTCAGTTTCGTTCCACTGTTCCGACCAGGAAAATAAAGTTCTGAACCGGTTCCAACAAAAAAAAAAGTAACAGTTAATGTTTTTATTTTAACCTGTGAAATCAACCATTTTTTACATTTAGCTTATTAAATTACTTCACCAATCAGTGTGGATAGAGCAAGTAAGCTAGTTATTTACATGCGTGATGGATAGACAAGTGTAGCCTATAGGGCAAGATGCGACTGAAATTTTGCGGGTGGGGGAGAGAGCCAGAGAGGGTTGAGGTGGAGGCTTGAAGTGCTGGGCATCTTGTTATGCCATGCATTATATGAATTAAGTCCTAGGGGGAGTGGCTTATATGGAGGAACTTTGAATGTCCTTTGAGCTAGTTAGCTAACAAGCTTGAGCTAGCTAGCTAACACGCTTGTGTGTGCAGTGGCACCATACTTAAAAAATACTTCTTACCTTTCTGTACCTCTTAAATGTAATGGCAAAATTTAGATTTCCACCTAAATAGACATACCCAAAAGTAACTGCTATTCATGTGTAATTACATTATTCTGACATTCCAAAACTTGGTATATTTGGAAAGAAGACATCTGGGAAATTTTGGGAAATGATCAGAAGATAGATAGGAGTTACATAGGTCAGAATACACAAGATCAAACACATAAAAAATAACCGTTTTTATTTTGAAAGTCATCTTTCTTTGACAAGCTATGTGAATTATTGATTCCCAGAGCTAGAAACACATCAGATTGCTTCCACATGTGAACACTATCAGAAAAAAAATGGGATTGATAGCCCTAACAACTAGAAATGGGCAGATGTTTTAGTAAGTGGTGTCAAGTGTGGTAATTGCACTGTTTTTGCACACTGGATGTGCCTAAAAGTTATTGTTCTCTACAAAAACTAAATTTCTACAACACCAACCTCTCTCAAACATTGTGGTGGTGTCGGGGGACATACAGGGGATATCCAAGTGTTTTTTCAACCTCTCTAAAGTGCCTGAACGTTTAGCCTAGGTATATTTTTAATGCGCAAAGATATAGTCACTCGGTGGACATTCAATGTTGCCATTAAGTCATACATCGTCAGATAACATTGACAATAGGCTAGATTTGTTCCTACAAACGTTAAGATTAATTTCATATCCCCCATGTAGCTCAAACACAGACCAAATCAAAGCTTACCTTGTAAGATGTTTGCTGTTTGGTGAAAACGTTGTGTAAAATAAACATTTTGACTCTCATGGCTGGTGATCAATAACGGTAGGTCACAGGCAGATGTATAAGACATCCTCATAATCTGTGGAGTTCTGGCTGTTGGTGTGCATCGATTTATTCCTTGTTTATTTTCATTTATGCTTCACAACACTAACCGGAACGTAGGTAGCAGCCATCTTGAAACGAGGTTATCGGCTCAGCCTGCCCTTATACATTCGAATGCTATATATGGTAGTAAGTCACACCAAAGCTTTTAAGGCACATATCAATAGCCAAGATACTCAGCTTTCTGCAGACACCATGCTTTTACAGATAGGAGCTACCGTTCTCATACCAGACTGAATTGAATAAAAATGATCGAAAAGGGTCCCTAAATATGGGGACTTTACATTTAAGAGGATAATAAATCCAACTTGAAACGTGATAACTAGGCCTATGGTATCCTTAACTTGCATTGGAAAAAGTGAATCCATTCTTCTCTTGCTAATTAAAAATCTCTCCCCTTATCTTCTGAATCAAGCTTGCAATATCAGTACATTAGCCTATGCTTCAGAGGGGGGAGGGGCAGGTTGCCTAAACACGCACAGGCAAAGATTGTCAGCTTGCAGGCAGACACTGGAATATGTTTCTGAGTGAGAGAGTGAAGGCTTAGCATATAGGCGCTTTGTTGTGTTTTGTTGTGGGACTAGAAAAAAATGCCTGGAATGTAAAATAACATTATTAATCCGTTTCCATGCTTTTAAAATAATGGTTCTGTTCTGGAACAGTATGGATCACTTTCGTTCCAGTATTCTGTTTTCTGTTTCTTGAAAATTGTTGTTATTTCCCGGTGTTCTGTTATGTTCCCTGCGGTTCCAACCCCTGGGATAAGGTACGTTCCCAGATAATGTAAGAAAGCCATTTCTAAACCTTTAAAGCTTAGTATTAGAGTGCTGGAAGCCCTACTGCAGGAGCTAAGCTGTGAAAGGAGTTCAGCCTTCCCCAGTCAGGAGCAGGGACAATTTGTGGGACTCAGCAGAGTCCCAGACACCTTATCTCCCTCCCTCCGTGAGCTACTTTACCAGACACAAAGTCCTAGGGAGTTATCTCCTCCGCAGCCCAGAGTAGTCCTACCTGCTGGGTCCTCGACACCTCCCTCCCTCCCCTCCCTGCCTGCTTCCCAACTCAGCAACCAGCCCTCACAGGGGTCCATCAGAATAGGGACGGAATGGAATAAGATTGCTGTCTTCTCACAGTTAGGCAGGTGGGCGTTTGTCCTTCACACACACACACACACACACACACACACACACACGCACACACAGAGAGAGATGGAAGAGAGGATTTCAAAACTATACTTCATCCCAATGTCCCCGGCCCTCTGCCAACCCAGAGGGATCTGTGGCTTGGATGGCATGAAGCCTCTAGTCATGTGGTGAGATTTCACACACAATGTTGATGTCTGTCCCTACCTGCTCTACGTTGTTTATGCAAGCAGGGTTTAAAGGAATAAACACAGAAAAGTGTTTCTCTATGTAATGCCAACTTGAGCTAGGCTACCGAACATGAATTCACGATAAACTTGGAACTTTAAGTAATGTTTCTTGGTTTCCAGACCCAGTATGCAGTGTTATTGTCTTTTCTTTAGGCCCAAACAATGCCATGTCCTATAATTGACAGAGATATTGTTTATGTTGCTTTGAGCCAATCTTTGTATTGGTTCAGGCACATTTGTATTATAATCCCAGGAAAGGGAGATAGAGGAAGACAGAGGAACATATTATTTTAATGCAATAGTATGTTTCGTAGAAGCAGACACCTAAATCCCTGCTGTATCCCTGCCTGGTGGATTATTATGTTGATTTTATGCTGTGTCACAGGTCTCATCTCAGATTTATCACCCTACTGTCTTATTAACACTGTCTTCAAGTTTCATATCCCAAATGTCAGATGCTGTCTTGGTTGGAGAACTTTCCTGTCCTCTGTAGTAAGACAGAAACACACACACACACAAACACAAACACAGACAAACAGTAACAAATGGGTCACGTTGTAGAACCCCCTGCCTTTTGGCAGAAACATCAGCATCATATTCTCCCAATGTATTCCTGGAAAGGCAACACTATTCCACATAATAATCCTAACTCTACTTACTTTCATCCATCTGTAAAACAGAAATCCACATCCCATCCCAGAGCTAATGATTACAGTACATCTGATTCAGACAGCGTTGTAGAGACAGGGCTTTAATGTATTATGGCCAATTGTAAAGATATCCATGTGCACATACAGCTGGAACAGTGATAAGATTTGTTGATATGAATGGAAATGAAAGCGCCACAGCTTTTGGAGAGAGGAAGACGTCAGGGGGCCATATAGGAAGACATAATGACAGTAATAAGACTGTAGTCCAGGACCCAACAGGCTGTGTTAGTCTCAGTGTCCCTTGCTGTTTCCTCCCAGGTTGATACAGCCTCCTGCAGAGAGTGATGTATACCAGCAACACATGCAGTAGATTTGGCCAGAAACACAATTAAAGTTCCCATTTGTGTGTGGGTGCGTGCATGCATGTGAAACTCACTGAGGGAACATTGATGTGTAACTCAAGTGAGCATGATATTGTATCCCAGAGCAGGTTTGTACATGCTACACTTGCATGTGTCCATGTTTACTAGTGGAAGACACCAGGTGTGTATCCTTGTAGGGGGTCTGTGTGCAAAAAGGGGAATGTCAGGGGTGTTATAGTGTGGGCAGGTGGTTGATGCTTCTACTCTTCATAGACTCCTGCTGGGGAGAGACCATACACACTTGGACTGGTGTTAGACATAACACTGAGAGGGTAGATTAAGGTAGACAACATGAAATCACGTGGTACAGTGTGTGAAAACAGAACACAGAAGGGAGAAGCAGAGGGGGAGAAAGAGAGAGAGAGATACAGAGAGAGAGAGAGATGTCTCAAAAGATGGCCCATTGGCCTGGTGGCCTAGGGAGCAGAGTGTTTGGGGTTGGTCTGGGTATGAGAGATAAAGAGGAACAACATGAGGGTACGACTGAGAGACAGAGACTACGACCTCAGCTGATGCTGCACTGATTGTGTTGGCTTGGCCTTCTGAATCCCAATTACACATGCACACACACACACGCACACCAAATTGCATTGGGTTGGCCTGTTGAATTCCTGTCATAGACAGAAACAAGACAGAAATGAACAAATAGACAGAAATGTTGAACTTGTACATTAATGGCAAGTCTGACATATCATAGTTTACATAGACAGTGGAAGAATACCATAAATTATTACAGTTCATGTGCAAAGTAACAATCAATGGATAACCAATGGATAATACTAACCTTGTAAAAAAGTTTAAAAGTTATAAAATACATAATACGTTATACTGTAAATAAAGTCTTTATAGTATCAAATGTTTAATCATATCTATAATTGTAGCATTTTTATATGGATAGAGTATCCCGCCTTACAACAATAGAACACGATTGGGAGCCACTGAGCTCGATGATGAATTATCATTAGAGAGACTGCTAAGCATGGCCCCTGTGTTTTGTGCTCCAGCCCAAAGTTAAACCACGCTGAACTAACATGGACAGCTAGTTAGAGAAGAGAGAGTTGAATCACTGTCAGCCCACAGCCTGTTGGTTGTAGACAGGTATTATTCTTCACCTGGTCCTGGAACCTCAGCTGGCGTCTGACGGTTCTAAAAGAGCCTGATAGATTTCAGATTTCAGGAATCTGGGATAACTGTCCTTTTTCATCAGCTTGTATATCACTCTCTGTGCCTTCTCGAAGCAGCTCAGGGTCGGCTGAGACATGCTGTTTGTAATCTCCTGCCTGGTCTCACAGTCGATGTTTATCTGGAATTGAGTAATGAATGAAACATCGTCTTTGTGAAACCATTATGTTGGACAGAGAAAGGGGGAAATAGAGAGAAAGACTAAGAGACAGCTAGAGGGAGAGAGCTAGAGAGAGAAAATGAAAGAAAGAGAGAAAGAAAGAAATATTAAGTTACACCAATAGAGTTGTTCCATCTGATGTCTCTATGTACCTGTCTGGGGGCGTCGACCTGTACAAACTCTGTGTAGATCCTTTTGGCTGCTTCAGCCATCTCAGTGTTGGAGGTGATGGTCTTGTACTCCTCACAGGCCAGCCAGAACAAGATGTTCTCCTCGCTGTACTCTGTCTTCAGGAACTCTCTGAAGGCCAGCTGCCCTGCTATACAGTAGAGACAGAAAAAGGAGATGGTGTGAAATTAGAATTACAGACAGAATCACACTAACATTCATACAGGCAGGCACACACATGTGAGCATGGCCACTGCCCATGACCTGCAGGTTTAGAGAGAGAGTAGGCTGGCCCACAAAGTTGTCAAACTGGTTTAGTTTGAGTGAGTCCTTAAGTGACAGAGACTTATTAAAGGAATATGTTTGTTCAAGCACAACAACAGATGTTCTGGGTTTCCATTTTAAAATGGACTTCTACTGTTATTTTGCAACCTCCAATGCTGTTACAGTAAATTAACATACAACATAATAAGGGTGTTAAATGTACAATGCCAAAAAACATTAGTTGTTTTAGATGTGAGTGAGTCATTATTTTAGATGTCATATGGGAATAGTTGTCCTTTGTGTCCTGTAGCATACTGTAGCCTTCTCAAAATGCTTAGCTTGCTTATAGATCCGTGCAGGTGTGCCAATTGTTATTAGTCTTTTGGGAACACAAACAAACAGCAAACTGCGTGATCCAACATTACTCACACTAATTGCATTACATAAATCACAGCTTGAGAACTGACTTTAATCGACACAAGACAAAATTAGTGCAATGGCAGCCAGCTTGTCCCCCCTGTTCCAAGGACTTCAGGCTTACACTGGCACCACTTCTCTGCACTTGCTTTAGTAGGACTGTATTAACAGTATCAAACAACAGAATCAGTAGAGAGAGAGAGAGAGAGAGAGAGAGAGAGAGAGAGAGAGAGAGAGAGAGAGAGAGAGAGAGAGAGAGAGAGAGAGAGAGAGAGAGAGAGAGAGAGAGAGAGAGAGAGAGAGAGAGAGAGAGAGAGAGAGAGAAGAGAGAGAGAGAGAGAGAGAGAGAGTAAAGAAGAGTACATTGTCTTACTTTTACACTCCAGAAGTTTTTTGAGGGACTGTCGCCATGACACGACTTCATCATTGGGGGCTTGGGGACCCTACAGAAACAACAAAAAAGCCTAGAGACTCTTAATTTTTTGTTGTTGATGATGAATGGGATATTGGTGGTGATTATGATGATGTTCAAATGGTTTACATTTATAGAGAACATGATGTTGACTTACTTCCTGTCCATGCCCCTTTGCCTGATATTCGACCTAACATGAGAGATGGAGGATGGAAACAACTGATCTAAAATGAGAGAGAGACAGAGAAAGAAGAGAGAGAGAGAGACAGGGAGTGAAAGACGGGGGAGAGAGAGACAGAGAGAGAAACATAGAGAGAGACACGAAGAGAGAGACAGAGAAAGAGAGAGGCAACAGAGCACAGGAAGCCTGTCTAGTCAAAGATGTTTTTGTGCCAAAAAATGCAGAAGCAGAACAGCAACCGGACAGTTTCGCTATGAATTATGGGACGGAAAAAGAAAACCTCTAAACTTCAGCTGACAGAATCTGCTGATGTTTCAGAAGACACTGATCATCCATTATAATTATTGATTCATTAATAGATAACAAGAATTACTCCAAAATGAGTGACCAACAGTTTGCTATGGAAATAATGAGCATTCCCCATGTCAAAATAGTTTAAAACAATCAATAATCTCTAATGTTTTACCATTTATCAGTGAGCAGTGTTCTGTATCAGCCTCACGATCTATGAACTACTAATCACTTACAATGAAGCATAATTCCTTTGTACATAGAAATGCAAACAACAGGAGCATTCTGTTCAGTACAGAATGAAAGGAATGTGAAAGGAACGGTCACAACCCAAGGCTTTCTCAATTTCGCTATACAGGCAAAGAAAAGTATAAAGCTCATACTTACAATGTATGTATATGGTTATCAAAAATCTGTTCAAAATCCCTGAAAAGCTATATCCCTGAAAAGCAGTTTGTACTCCTGAAAAATTAGCACTGTTCGATATGCTCAACAACCTCTGATTTTTTTCCTACTTCTAGTTGGACTTCCCTATTCTATTCCCCCGTTTGCTATTCCCCTCTGGCTAAAACACACAAGTATCCACATGTTGGACTGGGAGGAGGATTGGCAGATGGGAGGGTTAAGAGGTGATTCAGAGATTTTACTGTTCATTTTGGAATTCCCAGGGTGGGAATCAAGGAAGCTTGAAGAATCAGAGAGAGATGTTTGACCCAGTTCAACGATAAACCATTTGCCCATCACTCTCCCATGAAGACAAGCAGCAGAGGAGAGGGGAAGAAGAAGGAAGAAAGGAAGGAGGGAGGGAGACAGAGGGGGACACAGACAGACACCGTCGTCCCCCAGTTACGAGGGCTATGAAAATGACTGAAGACAGAGCCACTGGCAGTGTAGTGAGCAAGGGGGGACGAGCGACAACTTCGGGGACAGACACAGCGGAGTGTCTCTACCTGTCCACCCCTCTCCCGTACCGACGGCTGATTTGTGAGCCCTCGATGAGACGCTGTTGGCCAGTCAGGAGAATGAGAATAGGTGCTGTAAAAACACTGCTGCTGTGACTGCTGCAGCTGGGAACCTGACTACGCAAACAAAACTTGTCAGATCTGAGCCTCTGTGCCATGTTCCACAATGTATGCAGGCATTTCTGTAGCCCAGCACTTACACACCTAATTCAACTAACCGTGGGCAATGTTTAAGACCATGTATTAGGTGGATAGTGTTGAATTAGGTATGTTACAAAAGCCTGTACACACATGCTGGCCTCCATGGTCATGATTGGCCATGCTTCTTCTGTGTGGTTTCCCGCGGCCTTTCCCTTGGTCTGTGTCCAGGAGTAGACATAAAACCCGGCTTAGCCCTTTTCCTATTTGTCATGTATTTGTCATGCATTAATTCACTCTGAACTAAGGCCATGGCTTTGCTGTACACAAGGGCAGGTGAAGGCCAGTTTATCCTTTGGGCTCAGTGCCTCTGCCAAGCTGAATGAAACAGACATTCATCTCCCAGCCAACCTCCCTCTATTCATCCATTCACAAGGTGAGAACACTCAGTCCTGTTGAGGCTTGTGATGAAATCATTTCTTGACCTTTATGTATTGACCTTCATCCCACCAGGGTATGTGATTGAGAGTACATTACTCATATACAACAATGACCAGGGGAAAGGTTGCAGTGGAAGGAGAGCAGAGATGTTGAGTAAAGGGGAAGGGTTGCACTGGAGATGAGAGGTGGGCCAGCTGGGAATGAATCAGGTACATGAGTGATAAATGATGCCTGTAAAATATACAACATCTACGCTCTTGAAGCAGACACCTGCAGTAGATAATGCATGTTTTACAACACTGCGTCAAGATACTCAAGATTTTTTAATGTGCTACAAAGATTTCACAAGTGTAAATGTAAACATAAAAAAATCCCTCAGTATCCTACACCTCCTTAGACACCTTAGGTAAACAGTGTGTAAACTTCTAGATATTTGCAGAGGCAATAGAGACTCCCTGAAGTAGTTTGGCTCAGCTCAACTCCTGATTTGAATAACCACCACTGCTCTCCATGCATACTGAATCAAACCTGTGGAGGACTTATTTATATAAGAAGAAAATAACATTCCACTGATTTTCAATCAAATCTCTCTATTCACTCAAATCCATTCTCTCTATTGGGAGAACATTTGAGATAGCGAAAGATGGAAAAACAGAGAGACAGAAAGAGATGGAGAGAGCGGATACCAACAAGAGATTTGAATATAATTATTATTTCTTCAAGGTCCAATGCAGCCGTTTTGATCTCAATATCAAATAATTTCTGGGTAACAATTAAATACCGTGCTGTGATTGTTTTCAATTAAAATGGTGAAAAAGAAACAAAAATAGCTTCTTACCAAAGAGCAATTTCTCAAGCAAGAATTTTGCTAGGACTCTCTGGGAGTAGTCTGAGTGGGGAGGGGAAATGTTATTGGCAGAGAGGTTTGGAACTATCTTTCTTATTGGTCAATTAACTAATTTACCGCCTGGTGATGTCACCAGGCAGACCTAAACTGCATCCCACCAAAACAGGTTGAAATTTCAGGCAGTCTTTTCAAACAGCTCTTACACTAAAAGCGCATTATCACAATTTCACAGTATTATTCCAACCTCATAGTGTGGAAATATATATAAAACACAGGAAAAACATATTTTTTATTATTACTGCACTGGGACTTTAATTAACTTTTGTTATGACAGGAGAAACAGGACTGGGACATCCATATCTAATTAATCTGATTTCCATTTTCACATGGACTCATGGTGATTACCACCCCATACTGATTGGAGAGTTGATTAGCCAGCAGTCTTCCTCTTCTCTATCTTCTGTTTGCTCTGTGGCAACACTACTCCCTAATTACATAGCATTTGACCACCAGGCATACCGGGACAAATCTCTCTCTCTCTCTCTCTCTCTCTCTCTCTCTCTCTCTCTCTCTCTCTCTCTCTCTCTCTCTCTCTCTCACTCACTCACAGGGGCGGGCTGGCTGGCAAAGGGGCTGATTGGTCCTCGTCGCCCCCCATCTCCCTCGGTGTGCTTAGGCCGAACAAATCCCTCAAAGAGGGCCAACACGGTGATGCAGAGGAACGTAGCAACGGGCCGAGTTTCAAGGAGGTTCTCGTTGCGACGAGGGGGCGCCGGCCACAGCCACAGTGCATGCATACACACAAAAACACAGACAGACAGACACACAGGCAGACAGACACACTCACCCACCCACGGCGATGTGCCTCGCTTGCTCTCGGAGCAGGCAGGGGGCACAACACACAACTCAAGGTGTGGCTCTCCATCAAACCATTCTGGGGGGGGGGGGGGGGGTGGGTAGATGTAGAGACTGAATAGTCCACGCGTGGGCGCTTGTTCTCCGGTACATTGACGGCCTGGCGGAGTACCTTTCTCCACTGTTTCAAACATTACCAATAGCGGAGGATGCATCTAACAGTCGATGCTCTACGTAAAGCTCTATCTCTTTTTCTCTCTCTCTCTTTCACTAAATGTCTCTCTCTCTGACCCACAGACACACTCATACATACACACTATGCATTTCTTTTTCATTTGGTGTACAATACAGTACCTGATTGTATGCATCGCCAAATCCCCAGCTGACATCCTATGACCAACATACCATCAGCCACTGTGGGGAGCTCTGTCTCTACTAGGCTTCTCTCCCTATCCTCCTCCTCTCTCTTCCCCTCCTCGTCCTCTGGCCTAGCACAGAGCTGCTCATGTTAAAAGCTCAGCTACCACTGCTTCATGGCCTTAGTGTTTGTCTCTCTGTGTTTCACTGGAAGGACACACCATATGGGCTAAGGCTACGTTGAATGCAGTTTGATGTACTCATTGTGTTCAACCACAAGTCATTTCCTCATTGTTTCCCTTATTCACACTCCTGATGCAGAGCAGCAATATTAATACTTAGAAAGTTATTACCTTTTCGCTGTCAGGGTTCCCATTTAATGTGTTTTTTGTCTGTCTGGTTTGCTGCTGCTGCTGTCTGGCTGTATGTATGTAATATGTAATCTGTCAGTCTCAGTGGGTCTGTGTTTATCCTCAATAACATCAGTCTGTCTGCAGGCTCACCACACAATAACACTTACATGCACAGCCACTGTACAATATCCCTATTCAACACAGTCTTTGCTGTTTATTTAGTTGTTCTCCGTAATCTCATTCAATCATTTCCGCGTTGTCTCCATGGTACTGTGCTGTTTGTTGCTACTTGGATCCCTGCCAAACTTTAAATTTTTTACTTTTAATAACCGTTTCATTAAAACTCTGCATTTAACATATTTACCAATGTCTTAGTTTTTCCTCGCTGAACTTTTTTCATTCAATTTTTTTTTACCCTAGAGGCTTTATCTGGACATGGTTCTGCAGGACCGCCACCAGACAAAAAAAGCTAAGTAGTAACATTAATGCTATGCCATCTACAGGGGGGAAAAAAAGTATTTAGTCAGCCACCAATTGTGCAAGTTCTCCCACTTAAAAAGATGAGAGAGGCCTGTAATTTTCATCATAGGTACACGTCAACTATGACAGACAAATGTAGGAAAAAAAATCCAGAAAATCACATTGTAGGATTTTTTATGAATTTATTTGCAAATTATGGTGGAAAATAAGTATTTGGTCACCTACAAACAAGCAAGATTTCTGGCTCTCACAGACCTGTAACTTCTTCTTTAAGAGGCTCCTCTGTCCTCCGCTCGTTACCTGTATTAATGGCACCTGTTTGTACTTGTTACCAGTATAAAAGACACCTGTCCACAACCTCAAACAGTCACACTCCAAACTCCACTATGGCCAAGACCAAAGAGCTGTCAAAGGACACCAGAAACAAAATTGTAGACCTGCACCAGGCTGGGAAGACTGCATCTGCAATAGGTAAGCAGCTTGGTTTGAAGAAATCAACTGTGGGAGCAGTTATTAGGAAATGGAAGACATACAAGACCACTGATATTCTCCTTCGATCTGGGAGCTCCACGCAAGATCTCACCCCGTGGGGTCAAAATGATCACAAAAACGGTGAGCAAAAATCCCAGAATCACACGGGGGGACCTAGTGAATGACCTGCAGAGAGCTGGGACCAAAGTAACAAAGCCTACCATCAGTAACACACTACGCCGCCAGGGACTCAAATCCTGCAGTGCAAGATGTGTCCCCCTGCTTAAGCCAGTACATGACCAGGCCCGTCTGAAGTTTGCTAGAGTGCATTTGGATGATCCAGAAGAGGATTGGGAGAATGTCATATGGTCAGATGAAACCAAAATAGAACTTTTTGGTAAAAACTCAACTCGTCGTGTTTGGAGGACAAAGAATGCTGAGTTGCATCCAAAGAACACCATACCTACTGTGAAGCATGGGGGTGGAAACATCATGCTTTGGGGCTGTTTTTCTGCAAAGGGACCAGGACGACTGATCCGTGTAAAGGAAAGAATGAATGGGGCCATGTATCGTGAGATTTTGAGTGAAAACCTCCTTCCATCAGCAAGGGCATTGAAGATGAAACGTGGCTGGGTCTTTCAGCATGACAATGATCCCAAACACACCGCCCGGGCAACAAAGGAGTGGCTTCGTATGAAGCATTTCAAGGTCCTGGAGTGGCCTAGCCAGTCTCCAGATCTCAACCCCATAGAAAATCTTTGGAGGGAGTTGAAAGTCTGTGTTGCCCAGCGACAGCCCCAAAACATCACTGCTCTAGAGGAGATCTGCATGGAGGAATGGGCCAAAATACCAGCAACAGCGTGTGAAAACCTTGTGAAGACTTACAGAAAACGTTTGACCTGTGTCATTGCCAACAAAGGGTATATAACAAAGTATTGAGAAAATTTTGTTATTGACCAAATACTTATTTTCCACCATAATTTGCAAATAAATTCATTAAAAATCCTACATTGTGATTTTCTGGATTTTTTTTTCTCATTTTGTCTGTCATAGTTGACGTGTACCTATGATGAAAATGACAGGCCTCTCTCATCTTTTTAAGTGGGAGAACTTGCACAATTGGTGGCTGACTAAATACTTTTTTTCTCCACTGTAATTGCAGTCGCTGTACTCATAATTTGCAGGAGAACTATCACCTTATGGTGAGGATAGCTGAGTTGAAAGCCCAGCTTCAGACACAATTGTTAGGCAAGGGTAATTTAAGTGTGGGAAAGGATGAAATAGCGTCTTTGCAACCAGTAAGTACAGATAGTAGTTTAAATCCCCCCGCACAGTCCCCGCAGCCGGACTATTTTTTCAAGGCTTCTGGAAAGAAATGC